CATGTATTGAAAAAATACATTATATATTCACGATATTATCAAAATCAGTAAATTTCAATTTGAAGAAAATAATAAGTATGGGGCCTTAAGTACAGAGCCAAAGCTTGCACAAAACAAGACTTTATACTTTTTGATTATTTATTTGTTGGTTGATACTTTTGTTGTCGAACATCAATCTAATCACAGGGCCATTGTTGCAGAAGCTAACTTTAAGGATCTTTAAATTGGTGTTTTTCGGGCTTAGTCCAATGTGTCTTTCCCTACCAAACAATCAAATCAATTGGCTTTGATCCGCAATCAATATATTCACCTCGATTGCTATTCAATCTTACCCACGAAGGACAAGAAAAACAGTGATGATTTGTAGCCACAAAGACAAGAAGAAAATACTACAAAGTTACGCTATGAAGGAACCACAAATTACTCAAAATAATAAATTGTTTTAGACACCAAAAGGGGCCGTTTTTAACACACCAAAGGGGGCAGTCGAGTTCTCCTTATTTCACACACAAATCACACTAGAAAATAACTAGGGTTGTAATCTTATAAATAATCTAGGATTTGGCTTTTAAATCACACTAGAAATTTTAAAAGAATGAGACTCAAACAGAGGCTATATTTTAGGGCTAACAAATTTGTATCAAAAACCTTCCATCAAAGAAAGTCTGCGAGATAGACACAATAAATTTTACACTCAAACAAAAGACTGGATAACATCCAATCTACAAGATTCATCTGTCAAGACTATAACCAAACCCCACAATAGTAAAGCATTAAAAGGGAAAGGACCACACCTCACTAAATTGGGCAACTGCCCTAGCCTCCAATACTCTATAGTCTATTTTGAACCTCAAATTGTTCAACAACATATCCCCACACATTTTCTCAGTATATACGTTTAGCATTTTGCATCCAAACAATTTCTCGACAAAACATTGAAAGATGGGTCCGTAACCTATAGTTTCTATAGCAAATTTGTCCCTAACATTTAAAATGGAGCAACTTAATTCTCGACTTTTCATTGTCGTACGAGTACTCGTGCTCCCAACCTGCTCCCTTGCCTTTTGTTTCGTCCCCCCTTAACCAGCCGTGTCCTATGCAACTCTCCTATTCCCATTCAGAGATTCAAATTCTCACATCAGATAATTTGTTGATATTTCACTTAATGTGTGTTTAATTAGCTTTATTTTCATGAAAAATGTCATCCTCTCACCCAAGTTCCCACTTTTGGGGTGTTTGATTGACATTTTCCATGAAAAATATTTCTAAAAATTGGTCATATGACTATGTTCTCCTCAAAAACAAGGGAAGCATTTTCTTTTTAGGTGGTATGTCTTTATTTTTTAGGCAATTCACACTTCCTATGGAAAAGTACAATATTTTCTAGATTGAAAATTGAGTCAATCACACATATTTTAATTGATAATTTTCATACAAATAAGTACTAGGCATTTAATTGTTCATAACTTATTTTCTTTTCATGTAATTTTTATACTTGCAATT